GCAGAAATATGTAAAGATTCAGTTATTAAATTAAAATATTCAATATATTTAGATAACATAGCATTAACAACTTCTTCTAATAGAAAATTTTCACCCTTATCAGATTCTAAATCATTTCTAAGAGCTAATAAAATTATTTGTACATGTGCAATTGTTGGATATTTTTGTGAAGAAAGTTCAATAGTAGCTTCATTAAATTGTTCTAATAATATAATTAAATCTTCATAAATTTGCCAATTTTCTTTATTTGGTATATAAGTTGTTAAATTAGAATATTTAACTAATAACATGTTTAAAGGTTCATAAAGTAAACATGCTCTTTTATTCATCTGATATATTGAATTCCATCTTGTTTTATAATCTAAAATTGGAACTAAAAAAGATTTTTTATCTAAAGTTACAAGATTTTCTAAATCTTCAAGAAATTTAGTTGATTTACAAATAATTTTAATTAATTTTCTTAATTTTTTGATTGAATTGTCTAAAAGATTTAAACTAGCAGAAACTACTAAATTAAGTATATGGGCTATACATCTATAATAACAAAAATTATTTAAAATTAACTTATCTTGTAAATAATTTGTAGCAGAAATCATATTGGCTGCATTATCAGTTGTTAATCCAATAACTTAGTGTCAATTTGAAATTCTTCAAGTAGATTATATATTTTATCAGCAATAAGTTGTCCAGTATGAGAACCTTTAAACTAAAATATATCTAATACAAAATATTGTAATTTCTAATTTTTATCAATAAAATGAATAGTAATAGCTATAAAATTTTCTATTTTTAAAGAAGTCTAAAAATCAGCTATAAGAGCAACATTATTTGAAATTTTACTAAAATAATCTGTTATCAAATTTCTTTGTTGATTAAATTGATTAATAACTAAATTATATATTGTTTTACGAGTAGAGATTTGATAAAATAGATCTAATTTTTGAACCATATTATAAAAAGCCTTTTCTTCTACTACTTTAAATGGTTTAAGAGATAAAATAATCCATTTAAAAATTGCTTGAGTTTTTTCTGCTTAAATTGCTGCTGAATGTTTTTTAAGACCAAGATTTAATTTTTTTTGATCTAATAATAAGTTATGCAGATGTTGTAAATAATTATGAATAGAAGTTGTTGATGTTGTTGGTTTAAATATTTTAGAACATTGAGAATATTTGCAAGTTTGTTTATTTACAAATTTTCAAACTTCTGATTCTTCTTTACTAAATAATTTAACTTGTAGTAATAATTCAAAATTTTTAGTCAAATTTTCTTCATCTGTTGAAATTGATTCTTGAAAACTTATATCTTGTATACTTTGTATAATTTCTTTTTGTTCAACTTCAATACTATTCTTTTCCAAATCACTAATATAAATATCATTCTCAAGTTGTGTTTGTAAATTTTCTTCTTTACTACAATCTTCAAAAGTATTTGAATAATTTGAACTAGATGACATTTTTTAAATAATAAATAAAATAAATAAAATAAAATAAAAAATAAAAATATAAAATAAAATTTTATATAAATAATATTAAATAGTAATAAATTATATATAAATTAAAAATTTAAAATAAGCTAAAAATTTTGAATTTGTTATTATTGGATATTATATAGTTATTATAAATATTTAATATAAATAAATTATAGAAAAAAAAATAGGATTTAAGTTGAGAAAATAGGTTTAATATGATTATTATATTAATTTTATAATTTTTTTTTTTTTTTTTGGTTTTAAAAGGTGAGGCCTTGCTCATATCTTTATTAAATAATTTATATAAGTAAACATA